AATGATCGCCACCATAGCTATTTGCTTTTAGTTAACACATAAATGGTTGTTTCTTCTTTAAATGTACATACAGTATATTGAATCATCCTAAATTTATCATTTTAGTGCCAACATGTCTTGTAATAAATATCACACATCTGCATAAAATCATTTAGATTCTAACTTTTTTTTATTTAACTGGTCATGATTGTTCTTATTGAGGATTTTGCCTTTTTTTGTCATTTTGTTTGGATGTTTCTCACTGACCTGTGTGTGCTGTTACACTCCTGAACATGACATTTCCACGACAACATATTTGTCTTTATCATGTGGTCTGTTTTTTTAATGTCACTTATTTTCCTGAACACATGAAACTTGAACACTCACGATTCTAATATAAAAAAATAAACTCTTTCAGCTTTGATCCTCACAGTGAAACATGTTTCCTGCACTCTGGACTTTGGTCCATAAAAACACTTTAAAAGATACACTTCTTGATATCTACGTTACGAAATTTACACATTTTTTTAAAATCCATTCTAGCTTATTCAGTGGTATGTTTTCAATGACAGTAATTCTCTCTGAGCATGAAAATAGTTCATCTTTACAGTTGGTTAAATAGTTTTATACATTAGAGGAAAACACGCCGGCAGCTTCAGGGTCCAACAGACGAGGAGCAGTTTTTGTAGAAACCTTTTCATCCCTTCAGCAGAATTTAATGTCCACATCATGTCCAGAACGTGAACGAGCTTCTTATACAAACATGCCTGGAGTCCATCAGTGTGAAGCTGAGAGGTTTGTTCAGTAACTCCTGTTTGTGGCGTTAAATGTTTTCAACATTTAAACACACCCTCTGGTCTGAACTGTTCTTTACCCTGCACAACACAAACTTGTATTTCTAATACTTGGTTCTGGGTTGGATCCAAAGATTTACCATATTCCATTGAAACTGTTTAAATTTATTTTACAGTCACGGTCAAAAGAAAGACCACTCCTATCATATATATTTTTTTATCAGGATACAAAATGATTCAAATCTAAACTAAAGTGAACAAAGCACACAGCTGATTCCACAATGCTGATCATCATTAAATACAAATGAAGCAATCCTTTAGGGGCCTCAGCAGCTGGAAGGAGCGGCTGATCAAAGTCTCATTATCAGCGTGAGCACCTCTGAATGAGCAGGAGTTTACGGTTGTGTTTGTGTTAACACAGGGGTGTCCAAACTTTTGTCACATGGGCCAAAATCATAAAGTCAGAAGGACCCTGTCCTTTACCTGCTCAACAATAAACTAAACACAGAATACTTTAATTAGGGGTGCAACGATACAGAAAATTCACGATTTGGTTCGATACTTTAATCTCACGGTTCGATATTTTTTCAATACAAAAAAAAAAAAAAGAGATTTCCATGCTCCTTTTAACTTGCAATTTATTTAAATTAATTATGAACATTTGTTTAACCTCAAAAGTACAGTTTTTAAATTAAATGTTGCTGAAACAGTAAGTTTCTCAGTGGATCTGCGCTCAAAAATGCAGCCTAGGTGGAGTAGTCGAACACAGATCCACTGATCCTTCAACACAGAGCATCTTCAGAAGACAAGATGATAAAATAAATTTTTAAAATCTGTATTGTTCGATGCAGCGCTGTTTGCTAAGGTTCAATACGGGTACATGTATTTGTTGCACCCCTAATATAAATAAATGTTTGTGTGTGTGTGTGTGTGTGTGTGTGAGAGTGTGTGTGTGTGTGTGTGTGTGTGTGTGTGAGAGTGTGTGTGTGTGTGAGTGTGTGTGTGTGTGTGTGTG